AAAAAACCAAACGTCTTTGGAAAGGTTCTTTGGGAAGGAGAAAAGGCCCAGCCGGGAGACAGAAGAGGAGCCTACGACTTTTAAGAAAAAGGCTACATTTAATCGACAGTATCAGGAGTTCTACTTAAAATGCGGACTTTATCTCAACGGTAGATTCCCACGCAGCAAGCCCACTCCGCATAATATGCGGTGATGGTGAGTCGTATATTTCATGCTCTTTGTATCTTGTTTTGAAGGCACTTTTAAACGTTACCATAGCGACCAGAGAGCATTACGGCCACATAGGAGGTTCCTCGTGTCATGATTCGTGTTTCTTATTATGTTTCGAAAATACCACACTTTTCATGCAGGTCATATCGTATTCTGTTGTTGTATTTATCCGACACACCTTAAAGGCCGGTCCCTGAAAATATTGTCTGACATTAAACCGGTCCGTGGGGCAAAAGAGGTTGGCGACCGCTGCGATAAAGTATCCTTTTGTTTAATCAAATAACTTTTTACTCAAGAATATTGAAGACTGGCATTGACAGAACATTGAATAAAATGTCTGCTTCGTTAACAGGGGCGGCACGGTTACCGTGTCTGCGTCACATGGCTGAGGTGGTGGCTTCGAATCTGGCCCCGGCCCGCCTGTGAGGAGTTGGCATGTTTTCTGCGGGTACTCCGGTATCCTCCCACATTCCAAAAACACACACGCTAGATTGATTGAACACTCGATATTGTCCTGAGGTGTGATTGTGAGCACGAATGGTTGTTAGTCTACGTGTGTCCTGTGATTGGCTGACAACCGGTTCAGGGTGTACCTCGCCCACAGCCTGGAATAGACTCTGGCATGCCCGCAACCATTGTGATGCTAAGCAGTTTCAGAAAATGGATGGTTCAGTAGAACACTCCCGGGCTCTGCTCATAAAAACTGCACTTCAGCAAATATTAAACATTTGGTCCAAAAGTACAGAGAGTCACTAATGGCTTCCTCGCCTCGAAAGGCTGCAAAAGACCATTTGATACGCATCGCAATACATTTGGCGCGATGCGATACAAGGACGGCACATTTCAAAAGCTAATCATTTGATTTGAGTTGGTGAAATGAAAACCGTTTTTCCGATTCAAACTGTTTTTTGTTACACCCTTAATATTTAAAACGAGAATATCTTTTTTGGAGCCTTGTGATCTTGCTCGCACATCATCATCATCCTCATCATCCCCACGCATCTCACTTCTGTGCTCTCTCTCGCTTCCCCGTGGAGCAAAGCATCGACATTCTTTGCCCGTGGCCGGTGGCGGATTAACAGATCCTCCGGTAACGCTGGACTTGAATGAAATGTGAGAGGCCATCCGTTGGCGATACGGCGGTCGTTGGGGATTTTGGTTGAGTCACTTGTGGGTGCGGAGATCATGCATTTGAAATGAATGTCATGATTGAGTTACGAGCAGGGAGCATGCAGACGCCGGAGACGTGTACAATTATTTATATCCCTGCAGGATCCAGCGATAAAACACGACCATGTTTAATTTGAACTCAGGTCCGCAGGCACAAGTAGAGAAGGTTATGATTTTTTTTTCCCCTCTCCCTCAGCGTCTCTATTTTTTTTCCCCATTACTCTTTCTAATGCGTGATTGGAAAAATACAGGAAAATATTTGCCTAATTTTTTTTACCTTTTTTTATCCAGGTGAGGTGCAGGGTCTTCAATGGCGCAAGCTTGTCCGTGCAGGAGATTGGTGCGCGCAAGTTATTCACTACACATGTTATAAAGTACGTTTATATGTAGCTGCAAGATCTCCACTTGCGGATGATGTTAAGTTGGCCAATGAAAAGTGGGCATTTGAAGACAACCGTGCACTGTCAATCGCGCGTCTGTGTGTGACAAAACACGCCCCACCCCACCTCTCCCCCCCACACACAAACAGACACCAGTTGTGCTGCGGGCAGGGGGTTGCTTTTAAAAATATAAGACGCTAAAACTAATGCATTTAATAAATTGTTTTTTACAATGACTCAGAGGGCTCAATGCAAGCTATGAATGAAATATGATGACACACATATCAGCGGAGCACAGCTTCGGTCTGCCTGCGCCTTGATCAAATTCACCCAAATCGCATTACACCACCTGCGCCACAACTTAGACCTGGTTTCTCCGGGTCTAAAGTTTAGTTTACTTTCCGTCACCAAATTCTCAGGTGCGCCCGGGGCATGTAAGGGTAGAAGAAAACGCCCTCGGTCTGCTGAACTGCCAGACGTGGTCAACTAGACTCGAATCATCTGTCTGTCCATTGATGTACATAACAAGTAAATGTCTGTCTCGCCATTCAAAGGCGCACACAATGAAATGTGTCTGTCGTGGCAGTTCCACGAGCACAAGTCTAATAAGCTCTAAACCAGGACACACAATTCCAAGTACAAAGACACATTTTTGCCATTCATTATTCCGACTCGCTGTCCGGCCTGACAACCTCCCCACGCAGCTGTGCTCAGGAAGTTCCGGGGAAAACAAATTTGGGGCTAATCAGAACTAATCAGCTCCCCATCATGTCTCCTCCCACCCTATTGAGAAGCAAACACCGCGCTTCGGTTGTTTTTAAAATAAATGCACGCTAGGAACAGGGTTACAATGTGGCTCCTGAAGAGGTCAGACCCCAAACAAAAACAACATCGTTGAAGCAAACCTTTTATCTGTAAGTGGTCCTAATTGTATTATTGTTATTTTTTTTAAATGACTTCCTCCGCAAGCGAGGAGCTCCAAAAGGACGACAAGTGTGCATCGTCCTCATTTCAAGGTGAACGTCAGCTTCATGGACGGTTTACTTTGAATAGTAAAAAGGAAAAGAGGCTCCGGCACAAGGAAGGAGAACTCAAACTTGTTTTATCGTCTTGACAATTAGGTTGGAGAAGTGAGGCGAGATCACCTTTTGGAAAAGAACCCAACAAAAGGCAAATTGATACACTGCCGATATGACATCATATTCGTCCAAGCGAAGCGAGTGCAAAATTAGCTCATCCATAATTTCTCCGGGACCGTAATAAAAGACTAAAAGGAATGCAGCGGCTCGAGTATGAAGACGGCTACAAATTAAAAATTATAGCCTGTCACTTATCAAACAAGCTCAGACTGCAAAAGCCTTTCCTGTGCCGCTTTGTGAGGCATACAAAACCAATAATACGAATTAAAAGCGGCAGGCAGAAAGGCTTTTCAGAGAGCTCAAGGCCTCTTTAGCCCGTGTGGAGCAATATTTTACCGACATGCCTGGATGAACTGATTCAAACTGCAAAGGTGGTTATTAAAAAATGGGGGGGAGGGGGAAAAAGCAACAAATGCAAGATGTAATGTAAGGTGAGAGAGCATCGGGACTGCGAGCGCCGCAATACCAAATGCCTCATTAGCCTTCAGTAATCAATATTCAGCCCTCTTGGTTAACGATTTGTCACCTGGACGAAATGACATTTAACCGCAACAAGAGGATCACTTTGCACTGGCACTTTGGCAAAACGTCGTGAAATTACGGCGACCAAAAAAGGAATGAGCACGATAATCCCTGAATGGATTGTTAGGTCTCAGGTCAAGTGTGTGGAAGCGATCGGTGATGAATTGCATCTTGATGCAATGAAGGTGAAGCGACATTTGGCACTAGGCTGTAACCAAATTCAGTTTGCCCTCTAAGAATAAGAAAACCTTTATTCGTCTCACAATGGAGAAATTCCCAATTTACAGCAGCAAAGTTATGAAAGGACAAGAACAAAAAGTACAGAAGCTGCTGTAAAGGCAGCCAATCACGCGGCACCATCTTGAAGTCGTCATAACAACAAAATAATACAACACAACACATAAAATACAGACAGCCGTTCAATCTTAACCACTTTACCGCATAATGTTTTTTTTTGTTTGAAGCAGTTCTAGATGAAAGAGGAGAGGATCAAAGTGTCCTTTCACCGGTGGATCAGGGACGTCATGCTGAAAATGCGCACACGTCTGCTACAAGCTAAGTTTTGAAAGCAAACGAGAAGCTGCAGCGTCAAATCGACGAAAAAAGAGACTCTCTCATCTCCTGTCCCATGTAAATCCGCTTCAATTCCAAGCCGCGACTCCCAGTTCCACGAAGGCATACGGAATATGTCAGCATCTACGGCAACCCGCTTTTTAAACAACAACAAAGAACACGTTTATGTAAAACTGCTTTGGACAACACGGTGCTGTACAGCACATTTCGTTTTCCAAAAGCTGTTTGAAATGAGTTGGAGGGCGCTGCCGAAAATGCACATCGCTGACCGTGACGTCTGCAAGCCAGAGAAAAAGTAGCGGCAAAAGCGCTAGGCGGCTACACTTCCTGTTGCTTCGCTTACCGATGATGTTGCACGGCAGAACTCGGCGCGCCGCCGTACTGCAGCCAAAAAAAATCAAACGAGGAATGCATGCAAGTTTTTACATGAAAGGATCTTTTGAAAATACGAACCCGAGTAGAGATTAAATAAATAAAGAGCTGCGTTTTGGTGGCAGTTAGGGTTGCTAAAAAAAAGCACTGATTCCAATGGCATTTTCTCTCCACTATGATGTGATCTTTCAGCATGATAAATGGACGCCAATTGTGTGTGTGTGTGTGTGTGTGTGTGTGTGTGTGTGTGTGTGTGTGTGTGTTATCTCTACTGGGAACTGGAAAGCTAATTCTCTGGCAGGTACATAGGGAGCAAGCAAGCCTTTCATCACGCTTCCCTTTTTTTTTAAGAATAATTGGAATCACTGGAAAGACAAAAAAACAGACAAAAAACAGGCAGTGTGTGTGTGTGTGTGTGTGTGGGGGGGTGGTATTCACTCAAAGCACACTTGACTGTTGCGCTGTTACGTCCACTTTAAGAGGAGCCATTTGCCTTGATGTCAGTTCGGAACATGCAGACATCACGAGTGAAAAAGAAAGGCCATCTTGTCATATCGAGTAAAAGCCTCGTGGCGCTAACAGCAAAGAAATGACAAAACTCGCAGCAAGAGAGCGCGCCGGCGTTCGGACTCACCTCGTTGGCGTAGACCCAGTGACTGTCCTTGGACGCCAGGTTGGTCTCCACGGCCTGCGCAGATCAAGCAAAAGAGACGGGGCAAGGGGTTAAGAGAGGGGCGCTTTTAACGTCTCTGTGAGCAATTGGCCGAGGTCTTTCAGTGTCAGTCAAGCCCCGGGAAGCCTCGCGGCTTCGTTTGAAATTCAAGACCACCTGGAATACAGAGAAGGGGCTGACAGGCCATGGTGCGACACCGATTAGCATTAAAATCACTTGACTTTCTTTCTCTTTCTTTTTTTTTTTTGCCAGGGTAAAGATTAGGGTACCCGCGGACACCGCAGTTTAGCAGGCAGCAAAGGATGAGCTCTGGATGTTTTCATTGACTTTTGAAGACACACAATCCAAAAGGCGGATAGGTCTTGCAGTTTCCCAGACTGACAGATGGAAAGTGCCATCTTTGTTGCCTTGCCTACTAAGACAAACCCATCCATCCATCCATCCATTTTCTGGTGTGCTTTATTCTCAAAAGGGTCTCGGGGGTGCTAGAGTCTCTCCCAGCTGTCTTCGGGCAGTAGGCGGGGGACACCCTGAACCGGTTGCCAGCCAATGGCAGGGCACACAGAGACGAACAACCATCCGCGCTCACACTCACACCCAGAGACAATTTTGGAGTGTTCACTCAGCCTGCCATGCATGTTTTTGGAATGTGGGAGGAAACTAGAATACCCGGAGAAAACCCACGCAAGCCCGGGGAGAACATACAAAACTCCACACAGGGAGGCCGAAGCTGGAATCGAACCCTGCACCTCTGCACTGTGAGGTCGACGCGCTAAACGGAGACAAACCTTTTTATTCAATTTCAAAAGTTATGAAAGGCGGGTGTGTGCCAAATCTGTCACGAAGCAGAAGGAGTGTATGGTCTATAAAAGATGCGGAACGGTTTCTCTCTGGCATATCGACACGTAAAATAGGGTTGCCTATTATGCAGATTATGAAGGTGAGCATGCGTGGATCAGAAAGTACGAGCTTCACAAATCTGAAGAATGCGTCCAAAGGGAGAGGGAAAACAGCCCCCAAAACAATTAACCCCACCTCCTGAACACTAATCTGAAAAAGCAATCCGACAGAAGCAGCAACAGTTGATGCCCATCAACACCACCTAACGCTCGTCGATGGTTAAAAAAAACAAAACACCGCGAGCCACTAATCTTATCTCCAAACCTCAGAACAGTCACGCTTAGATTTTTAATGCCCCTCTCGTTTCCAGATTTCATCAAGCCGCACGACGTCCATCGGAGTCCTAAAGCAATATTTACCTCCACGCTTCAGACGCCGCATCTCGCGGCCTAATCGCGCGCAGCTGCTTTGAAATTCAAATGGGGCGCAACCAAAACATCGAGGCGTGTTGATGTTGCTCAGATGCTGTCGTCGACTTACGTATTTACCGCTTTCGTACGTCCTGACATCACTTGAAAACATCGACCGAGATAAGGTTCAGATGGATAGGAGAGCCCCAACCTTCGGGCACGCCATCACAGGGCCCGGGGGGGGGGAGCGTAGGACGCAAGACTTTGAAGTACAAAAAGCCGTAGGGACATTTTGGTTGTACCAGTAGTAGTAGATGAACAAATACAAAGCGCAGACACATAAGGGAAGTCGTGCAGTTTGGCGCACGGGGGGTGCGCGGGCGTATGTTTGCTTGCTAACTTTCGAAGGGCTAATGAACAAACATATTCTTCTATGCAAAGAAACATTCCGAATGCTTAGCTTGCTAAATATGTCTCAAATTTTAGGACAATCGGAGGGACGGGTTTGGGAGCTACGGCCCGCCGAATTTTAACACGTTCTGCAAAAAGGGGCGTGGCTACGTTCTCTTGTACCCTAATATGTCAGGAACTACTGGGTCAATTTTCACAAAAACGAGTATTGTTGGAAAGGGAACTGTATTCAAAATCGAACGTGAAATGAAAAAGTCGGCTTCCTCGACTATTTTGTGTTGCCGACCAGACAAAACTGGTAGAGTTCTTTCTTTTCAACATTGAAAAAGAACCCATAAAATTGTCAAAAAATATGTACGACGTGAGTGGGACTACCTGACACATTTTGGATAGGCCATTTTTCAAAATCAGTCGGGTTCTTGTGCTGAGATTCAATCATAATCAATCAAATATTTCAGGTCAGGTTCTTGCTTTGACCGACAACAACGGTTCAGACAAAAAAAAAAAAAATCTCAAGATGTGGCTGGCGGACAGGTAGTGCGCTAAATTAAAGTTGGACTATTTTTGCTGACTACAAGTCAATGTCAGCAGAGTTTGAGCTTGAACATCGCAAAACAATCCACCAATTGATAATTATGCAAAATAAGCCATCAAACCTTTGGAAAAAAAGGCTTGACTTCTTATTGCAGATACTTTTGTTTTTCTGGGGAGCTCTTGGCCAATCCGAGAGCAATAGCATTTTTTTTTTTAAATACCTTTTTTTGTAATGACAATACTTTATTGACAAGATGCAGCATAGGAAAGAAAACTTCCAGTGTAGCATTAGCATACCGAATGAAATCCGTAGCTCGGCAACAAAATGTGACAATGAGATGACATGGAGAGTCTTATGATAAAGTACGTTGACTCATTAAGATTCCAAACAAGCAGCACTTAGAAGACAAAAGGCATCTGGATACAATTCTTCCACCTTCTAATGTGTCTAATCAGCCTTTTTGCTAATCGAATTTGGAGTCAAGTACGGCTTTTCTCTCCAGCCCCCCTCGATTTCCAACGTACCACACAGAAATCTCTGGAAATCCACTCAGGAGCTTCAACGCTGTCAACAAGCCCGGGCTGAGTAATTTTGGCTTTGTGCGGCATTGGAAAAAGCTGAAAGATGATGCAAGCGTGACACTCCGGAGAGCAACGCGCTCTTCGAGACGGGAGAGCCTGGAGTGCGGGTAGAGGAATATTTTGTGGCGTTGATACCAACATCTCCAGGTGGGAAAAGAAGCCCCCCCCCCCCCCCCCCCCCCCCGGGTGAGTGCTTACGCGGTCGCCGTAGCACAAAGGCGGGAACGCCAACTTCAATTTAAAAGGGATTCAAACCGAGAAGGGATTGAGAGAAAGTGCAGCGGTGTATGTGGGAACAGGTGGTGGTGTTGTTGATGGAGGAGGGGTGGGGGGTGGTCTTTACTGGGGGAAAAACATTCAGGAGAATCATTTGCTGCAAATTCCCTCCGGCGTCCACTTTGAACGCCGATAGGGAGACGAACAGAGGGCTGAAATGCGTCACGGAGTATCATTGCAGTCCACGCGAAGCTGTGAAAAGCCGTGAATGTAAACCGCTATTTTTAATGTGACAAATCCCACACGGGACCAGGGGGGGGATCTCGTAAAAATTCTCTGAGAAGAACATCATATGAGCTCTTATTTAGCTGGTCTGCTGCGACTGCATAGGAAGCAGGATACAGGAAATGCAACAGCACGAGACCACTTAGCATTTTATTTTAGAAATATGTTATAAACATTTGTAAACTTTGATTAAATAGCATGCTTTTTAAAAAAATAAACAATCGCTTGGTAACAGTTCACCTCGATACACGATAACTCGAAAAAGCCCATCTGGGGAAACCCCCGAGAAGGGGCCGCAGATTCACGCATCTCAGTCGGTTGTGGTTGCTCTGCGGTGTCTCTGTGTCCTTAACGTTCCACGGGTATGGCACAGCGTTCAAACTGCTAGCATCTTGTTAGCTTCCTTTAAGTCGTCCATATTGCTAGATGCGCTTAACATCTCATTAGCTTCATCCACAATGCCACTTTTGATTCTCAAAGAGAGAATGTCACTGGAAAATTAAGTCCAAATTATATTAAAAAATGTAAAAATAAAGGCTCGTCCAACCCAAACACGGTGGCACTTCCACAGTCACGTCCCGATCAAAATATATTTCGAAAAGTCACATTTTCATGATGAAAATGTATAATGTATTAAATTCATGAGGTGTGTTGAACATTTATAATGGCGTTCTTCAAATAACAATAACCTAATCAATGAGACGTGAATGTATCATTTATTAGCATAACAATTAGTGTCGGTCATACTCACACCTGCTTGTAGAGAATTAAAAAAATAATAATAATGAAACCATGCACCTGAACAAATGCGTTCGTCAAGGCCAGGCGTCGTCTCATCTCCTTAATGGGGGTGATACGAAATGAGTAGCGCATTAAAAACAAATCATGACTCCCATCTGCCATTGCGCGGATGTTGCTCGCTCCTCTCAGCATTTTGCCAGCTTCTCGTTGAGAAAGCTGCTAGCCTCCCGCGGGATATCGTTAGCTTCCCACTGGCGTGCCTCGGCGCTAAAGGTGAAGGCATACGTGGCATCCTTCCACGAGTATCCCAAGCTAAAGCTGCTTGCTTCTATCGCCATGCTAGCTCCCCCCCCCAACCAGGTGCGCTATGGTAGTCAAAATGCTAACTTTTCTTGGTTAGCTTCCTGTACGCATATGAATTGATTTGGCGCCTGTTACTTTTTATTTTTTTTGTTCAGCTAATATTATTATGTACAACGTGTGGAACATTGAGTGATGCGAGTGTTTGCGAGACGATTTAAACATCACACACGGCGAGGCACATGAGCAAGAGGAGACATTTGCATTTCTGAAGGATCCCCTTGGGGAGGCGCTGAGTACAAACTGCACACTTTCACCTGGGGGAAATTTAGCTTGTGAATCTTTGATGATCAACTTCAATTGCCGAGCTGATAGATAGTAATGAATCTGGATAATTAAGAGCAAGGAAACCGGTGAGCGTACCAAAAGCGTTTTCCTTTCATCGAGTGTAATAATAATACCATAGGACTACACATTTATTTCCAAGAGTTGGAATAATACCGATTTTAATTAATTCACAGGAGAAAGGAAAGCAAGGCCATCGTGAAGAATTGTTTACAAAGGAGCTTATGGAATAAGGGTTCCAATTTTAGAAACGCACTGCTTTGTTTATGATATTCATTTGTCAAATTAATTGCGTTTTTGAGGGCCTCAAATTGTCCCGAAAGTTCACCAATTTTTGCAAGGGGGGGTTCCTGATGAAACGTAAGGATGTATTGAGGAGATGTGGAACTCAACCCGACCAAAATTGACTCCACTTTCGCACAAGGATGAATGCATAAAATTTGCCAGTCAGTTTCACCACAAAACTGCATACACACACTCAAAAAAAAAAAAAAATTTTTTTTTTTTAAAAAAAGGCTTAAGGCAAATGCCTCAAATTCAACAGGAAGTCACTCAAGTTTGGTTTAAAGCCGTCATTTTGAGCTATTACTTAGCTATAGACAAATTCCGACATAGAAATTTTCCCAAATGAGCTCAGTCCGAAGCAAGCATGCTATATAGACGGTTACCGCTTAGTTGTGCCATGTCTGTTGAGAATTTTGAGGATTTGTGTGAGCTGTGAGGACCCAGCTTCAGTCGGTTTTCAATTACTATTTCACGACCATTTGACGTTGCTTGGCATTGCAAGCCAGGACAAAACAAGAAATAAACAAGTTCAAACCAAGACGGAGCACTCCATTAAAAGCAAGTTACCCATTTTAATTGATTTGAATGTCTCCGGGCCGCTTGGAAGGAGAGGCCATGGTAAAAAAAAAAAAAAAAAAAGCTCCTTAAATGTATCTGAATAATGCACGCCACCATTACCAGGCGCCAGTCGAGTGACTTCAGGTGAGAAAAGGCAGTGAAAGCACTTTGTACAGTTCCTATCTTTCAACGAGGCACACAACTTTCCTCCAACACACCGAAACGCATTTTGAGAGTTTTTTTTTTTTTTTTGAAAGCATAAATATGTAACAAGTCACAGAGTGGGGTGGGAGAGGTCGCATCCAAAAAAGCGCAGAAATCACTCAACTGCTTTTTTAAAAGAACGTCTGGAACATCTCGGACGCAGAGGCCGACAAAACGTACGAGGTGACCTCTTCACCTTGCTTCGCTGATACGAGAAGACGCGACTGCTCCATTTTCTTTGCCGACAGAAATAGACCGTGGCTTTGGTATGCCGGGGACGCGTGCGGCGGGACGGACGCATTAGCATGGGATTCGACTTTGAGCGGCTTCTCAATCACCCAAATGTCACGCCCCGACATGACAAACATGGCTGATGAGGCCTCCGCCGTCGCCTCGCGTCTCTCGCGCATGATCTCAAAAGAAGGCTCACTGGGTCGGATCTGACTGACAAAGCCTGCAGAACACTGCAGGCTTTGTCTTCATGGTTCGAAGGGGACGACCGTACATATTTGCCCACCCATCATGTGTGAAATGATACAGGCGTGAATGATACCTTTTTATTTTTTTGAGTCGTCAATGTCACTAAATATGTCTTGGATGGAGCAAGTCAAATTTTGGGCCCAACTGTGACAGTCAAGGCCGAATGTTGAACGCTTTGAATATTAATAATAATAGCCGCGTTTGGCTGTGATCCATTTTCCCACATTTTAAAACGGTGTCTCGCTCACGTCTGTAAAATGTTTTCACATGAAAAAAGATTTGCATTTTCACTCATGGAGGCAGCACTTCACACACGACAATTCAAAGCTGTTGGCTAACGCTAATCTCGGTATCCAACATAACTAAAGGCAGGTCGAGTTGCATCTCTGCGTTTCTCTGATGGTGCGTATAACCGCGACGACACCGTCTTGCCTGACCTTGGCGAAAACATGTCATTTACATTTTATTTAGGCACCTGGTCGCAGCTTTAATTTGTGGGGAAATGACACTTTCTTCTTCCCAATCCCATGCTGGCATGCATTCTCATTTTTTCTGAAGGTCCACCGTATCCGTTCCGTTATCATTGAGCGATTCTCTTGTTTCACATTTCGCCCAAGGTCTTTATTCCGTCTGCTGTTAGGCGACAAACGACTTGCCATGCAAAACAGATGCGCACCGCTCCCGACAGCTTTCTTCCAAGAATCCTCGCCCAGTATAGATTCTACCGTTGCGCATCTCTTCCCAGGATGAAAAGCCTAATTGGACATTCATTTCCTGCATAAAAGGGCGCAGTTTGGCTGGATGCGATCTGATCATTATCTACGAAACTGCAGCCAAGACTGAGAAGTAAACCACGAGGGCACGATATAAAAAAAAAAAAAAAAAAAATACTCGTCATTTACTATTTCCCACTATGCCGCGTCAACCACAGCGTCATTCTGACAACCGAGAATTATTTCGAGGCACAAGAAAAGGTTGCAAGACGACATTATAACAGTCCAAAGGCGTGTGGAAAAGGCCGTCATGTCTGACATAAAATGACTTTTTAAAATGCTTGGCTTTGTGATAACCAAGCTTGACGGAAATACAATGAATGTAAACGCTGCGGGCGCCGTCGCTGCTCAAGGTTGGGGTTTGTGATCTCAGAGGAGTTGACAGGAAAACATTGTTGGTCAGGAAAACTGCCACTAGGAGGTCGCTCTGTCGCTGTAATTGCTAGCGCCGGACGCTACAAGTAGCGAGCAAGTTGTTTTCACACTTGCGAAATGCTACTAATTTATTCTGGGAAATGTCTCGGGCCGAGGGAATTAGCTTTGTGCATTAAGGACAGCAGTTCCAGATTGGTGACATTCCATAAGTAACCTTGGAGCAAGAGCACGGAGAATCGACCATTCGGCTAATGGAGGGGTTATTAAGCCTCAGGGGTAATTTTCCATGTAAGTGTAGCAGCACCCGCGGTGGCGAAAGGTGGCAATCAGCTATGTGGTGCTAATGTTTTTGTTGTAATGTACTTTTCAAGCTTAACACGATCCATAAGGACTTTCGGCATTTTCCAAAAGTCACACGGGGGGGGGGGGGGGGTCTCCACATTTTTTTTTTTTTTGTGTTAACTTGCCCAATTTTTTGTGAAAAAAAAAAAAAAAAAGGATTGTGATTTGGATCTTGTGCTGTTTGACAAGAGGGGGCACTGAGTGAAAATGAAGACTGCTATGTTAGCTGCTTGCGCTAGCCACTCTGCCGCCAAAAGTGTTTTCTGTCTTACGTATTCTCCCGTGTGCTTAAATCAGAAAAGGCACTGCTTGCAAGCTTTTCTAAATGCGCTCATTTTCCCATCCACTTCCGTCACTTGCGCACTTTCCACCGGTCACGCACTCTGGATAAATCAGGGACAGCATTAAGCTTCTCAGGACGGCCTAACATTGTTTTAATTTAGTTTCCTGCTCGGACAGCGCGGGTGAAGGCTGCAGAGTACTCGCCGCTCCATACATGAGCGATACGTGATGCGTTCGGTCATAAGGTGATGATTAACTTCCATCGTAGCTATGAAAATTATTTTCACACTCAAAATGTGACATATTTTCCAAATGGATTTCGATGGCATTGACATGTCTTAGGAAAACTCCACTCGACAGAAATTTCAGCCACTGTCAGTTTTCAATGAGTCAACCCTCTTTGGTTGTTGCGCGCACTTGAGCCGGTTCAGCGTGGTGGGTGTGTCAGAAGTCATTATGGGATAATTGGCGTACCTTGAAGGTGTGTATGCCTGGCGTGTTAAAAAAAACAAAACAAACAAAACACATGCACATTTGTGAGAATATAGCCCGATGTTTTTACCTGACATTCCCTGCTAATTTTTTTTTTTCTTGTGTGACAGCACTTTTGTCATTAAAGTTAAAAGTCTTTGAAAATTTGTAACATACTCTTATTATACTGCTAAACTTCTACTTGTATGACAGTAAATAATGTTCAACTGTTACATTACCTTTACAGCGGGCCCTCGCTTTACTGCAGTTTTATTAGCATGAAGGGGATGTAATCTGAAAATGGAACGCAGCGTAATTTATCACTATCCTAAATTTTGCTGTAAATATTTGTATGAAACACTCCTCGGCCATAATTTATTTTTTTTAAAAATCAAATGAAAAAGAGCAAATACGGCATAAGTGTGCTTTCTTGAGCCTCATGATAAAGTACCCTCACTGCACGCAAGTCTGGAAAGTAGTTCAGTACGCCATTCGTAACCCCTCAAACGTCGTATTTCTGCGCCATCCTAAACCGAGGACACGCCGTAATCAAGGTTTTTTTCATCTGGAACCAATCCTTCCAAATATAACTGACCTCAAGGAGGAAATGTTTTCAGTCAAGTCACAGAATGGATTGCGGTCGACCTCACCACTGTAGTCAGTTTGAATGCAGTGTATGGAAGTACTTGAGAGGAGATTGATGACTTCACCTTTTTATAGTATCCTGAAGGAACCGCTCCATTTCGGAGAATGGGGAGACAATGCGAATGTAAAGAGCTTTCACCTTGTCTTTACTGTCGGGGTAGCGCCTGAGAGCAGAAATGGGACATCAAATCAAAGAAATAAGAGCAATAACAAGACACAGATTTCTCGTCACTATCTCCCGGAATGTGTCCGGTGTCATGTTTTCCTTTCAGAATTCTCATTTCATCTCACGTCTCAGATCATTTGTCTTGTCTACAGCTCAGTGTTTCGATGCTCCTTTTTTTTTTCCTTTTACCTCTTCAGCGCCGCGTAGTAGAGATGCAACAGCGCTGTGCAGTCCTTGCCGCCGTTAAAGCCGACGCAGACTTCCTCCGTGGAATACTGATCCAGCGCCGCCTCGACTGTTTTGAGCGCGGACGTAACTTTCTCGCCCAGCGGTGTGCCTGCAGGGAAGGATACCCGCCGCGGGAGATTATTCAAAAATGTCGGTGCGTTTTGTATTACCGATGTTCTCGCTATCGCCCCTTCAATCTCAACAGAGGTTTTCATTTAGTTTCAGTTAAAATGCTTTGGGTGAGCTTTCAGTACCAGTCCATGAGACGTCTGCGGAGCCAGACCAGTGACTTTCTTTACGGTGTCCCCCCACCAATGGCGAGTTACATGCCTTTGTTTACAATTTAAAAAAATTTACAAGTAAACATGTCATGCAAAAAAAAAAAAGGCTAAAATAAAAACGTAAACCATTTCATGATTATTTAAAATTAAGGATATGACTCAATTATTTTAATCATGATCTGTCATCAATTTTTTTTTCAATTAATTGAGGATCACAGAAAACAACTGTGATTCAAAAACAGAACATCATTTCGAATTGAAAGTGAAAAAAAAAAACAAAAAAACAAGCATTAATTATGATTCAGTGAGTGATTTGGTCCCTAATGTGTGGGAAAAATTTGTAAAAATGCTTAGAATTGTTTTCCAAAGTAAATGCAAATATTTGCAGGTGTCCTATTTTGATTCAACGCAAAGACAATCCGTCTCCTTTTCTCCTTTCATGGAGGACTACAGAAATCAGCTTCTATTTAAAATGTATAAAACCTGATACATTGCTTACGATGCATATATAATATACAATGCTTTTCCCGCCCCCCATCATGCAGACATTTTATACAGGCACCATTGAGAGCATCCTGTCCAGCTGTATCACTGTGTGGTATGGTGCTTGCACTGTGTCCTGCCAAAAGACCTTGCAGCGCACCGTGAGAACAGCTGAGAAGATCATTGGTGTCTCTCTGCCCCCACTCGTGGACATTTACTACTCCCGGCTGACCCGCCATGCCATCCGGATCGCAGGCGACCCCACACACCCATCCCACAGCCTCTTCAGCCTGCTGCCGTCGGGAAGGAGATTGCAAAGTCTCCGTGCCAGAACCAGCAGGCTCAAAGACAGTTTCTTCCACCAGGCGGTCAGGAGACTCAACTCCCTCCGTGCTCTGCCCAAACTCCCCACCCTCTGCCTCTGCCCGACCCCTGCCTCCTGTCACAGACTATGACCCTCCCCTCATTATCCGTCATCTGCATATTGCATATTGCACAATGCACTACGTCACTTTTATCCTCAATAGCCTCAAGTGCCATTGTTTTATGCTGCTTTTATTGTATATATCGTCTTTTATTGTATATATCGTCTATATGTTTATACTGTTTTAGACTACATTGTCTTTCACTGTTTGTTGAGGATTGAGAGAAATAAATTTCATCCATGCTACATGTCAATGTATGCATATTTGACAATAAAGTTGAACCTTGAACCTTGAACCTTGAAGGTGAGATGGCAAGCACCGGCCATAACATTAGGCACACCTGAGCGATCTAATGCGATCCGGCGTTGAGGACAAGGTTAACTTCAGGGCGGCTGATAACTCGGTCGGGACCTTGTCTAGCCGTGTAACTCGTCTTGATCAAAAGTTGATGAATTCAACCTCAGTTCATCGCAAAGCAGACATCAATTCTCTTTCATCTCCATTGGCAACTTTTGAAGCTCGGCCCATTTTGAATATGAGCCACATCGGGATCCCTATTAAAGGTTAATCAATTCGCCCTTGGGTCAAACCGCAGCAACACCCCGTATTAAAGCCCATCGTCGCTGGAAATTTATTCATTGCATTTTGTGGATGTCCAGGTCACCAAAATGAGCCGCAGCATGATCACTAGTTAAGAAATGTCCTCTGGTGATCGCATAAGCTTCACACCAAATGTCACCGAAATGTATTTGTATCTTTACGAGAGACACGTCAGTGGAAAGAAAATGATCCTGACCTACTTTGCGGATCACGGCCAAAAGTTTACTGACAAGTGAATCTTTTTCAAGCTCAAGACGTTTATTTGACGTTGGGGCGAGGGCAGCATGCTGTTAGCACGACTGGGTAACCGTCCCTCAAATAAACACACTGATGTTGTCGGTGACGTGGCTATCGATATTTTGTCTTTCTTCAATGGAGGCTGAAATGACGACGAGTCTCAGAGTAACTCTTTACACTCGCGTTTCATCATTTTCATTGCGTATTTGTCATAATTCTGTTTGTGACCAACAGGTGGCACTGTAGGGCTCTCCGTGCAGCTGCACACCTGTTGGTCGTTATGTAATTATTGCTTTAAAAGGACTCCCGGCACGACCACTCGGTGCCGGGTCATTGTTTGTTTGTTGTAGCTGTCATTTTTGTCGGTCATGTTCTCGATCATGTTTTGGCGACTGTTAGTTTTTGGCTACAGCCTGGGTTTTGCTGGATACTTTGGATTCGTTTTGTTTTCAGGACTTTGTTTTGGATTTAGTTTTCTGTGTTTTTATCAATACAATTCTTCAAGTACAACCTGCTCCTCCCTCCTGCCTGCTTTTTGGGGTCCACCACCACCACGCGACGTGACGGTATTTAGCTGTTGTCAAGCTTTAGCTGTCCACCCTGTCATTCTGAAATGCCCACGAATATAAAAACATTTCCGAAATATCCAACATATTTACTCGGCGGTAGACTTATACGTGTTGCTAAGGGTAGTTACTCAGTGCGCTCATAAAAATGCCAATCCAACAATGTCCACCCTGTCATTGTCCCACCTGTTAGCGTGTACATAGTCTGCTTGTAGTTTAAAAAAAATAAAAAACTGGGGGAGGCTTAACCAACACGCATTTCTAACATCATAATGACTTAATACGAGGGCACAACCAATATGGAATATTTTGAGGCCGATGCCAATTCAGGATAAAATTACGATGAGTGGGCGAATTCATTAAAAAAAAATACATCATGTAGAAAATAACTTTTAAGTCCCTGAAGGAATTACAAAATGTGAGGAAAAAAATGTAATAATCTTGCCCATTTTATGAGTTAATATCTATTAATTAATCGGTCGGGCCCAACTTAGAACAGTGCATATGAAGTTTGATTGAACATTTCAGCCACGACTAATGAGGAAAAACAGGATAGAAAAAAATATAAATGGGTACATTTGGACAGCATAAAACAGGAGGGTGGGGGGGGGGGGGAAAACAAGGGTGAGAGAAGGCTGGCAGATGAGCGTGGACGTCACCCAGCGTGTACAAGACATGTTTTCACAGCAGGCCGGGAGAAGTGCCACTGTGTGTCGAGTAGGAGTGTGAAGCCTTTGACGCAAGGTCCAAACAGCTCCGATAAACACGACGTCTGCGGGGAAGGTGACAAAAAGCGGCGGCGCTCGCTTCAACTGGCCCATGTACAACGCGCTGATAAGAGGTGGCGAAGCGGCCCGGATGGTGCCTCTCCGGAGCCATTGGTTCTTGAAACACGGCTTTAGCCAGATGTGAGGTTGCAATAAACAACCGTGCACCCCCCCCCCCACCCCCTTTGGCCGGCAATAAATTAGCCAAACAAATAAAGCACTCGTGCAAGTGCTCGGCTATTTTCTTGGCAGACCATTTGGAGCTTGCATCAAACATGCTTCGACGTTTTGGCACAACACTGATTTATGCCTTTGCGGGAGGGAATCTAATTTGCTAGCGTGCTGTGCTTGTAGCCCCGAGTCGTGGTTACACTTTTTCTATAGCCCACATTTCAATACACCTGAGGAGCACAAAAAATGTAATCTGTCTCTTTAGGATCAATACGGCGGTCTGAAGAGCGGCACTTTGGCTCATGCTGCTTGCCGCTTGATCGGCAACGCGGCGGTTTGAAGAGGGAGCGAAACGATTCCATAACCTCGTACTCAAAATGGGCGCTGTGCTAACCGCGCTTCAAATCAAGTCAGATCAAAATGGACTGTGTAAAAGCAAAGTTTTGTGCGGCTTAGCCCGAGCCGAATACAGCGATAATCTCCGGCAAAGGACCGTCTGCACATTTAGGACTGTGAGAATCGAAAGATAAGTGCGGCCCGGGGAGGCGACGGGCTCCCGAAGCGAGGCGAGAGCGCGGCTGGCGGGTGCATGATCAAAGCCTATATTTTGAAATCACTTACTTCTCCATTAGTTTGATTAATGGGTCCGGTCTCCCAGTCAGACGCAGGCAAAGGGCTTGAAAGATGATGCAATTACTGTTTTTTGAATAGCAGACTGAAAAGGCCCGTCTCGAAAGACGGTTCTGCTGGGGACTCGACAGGGCGACCCGGACAGCTGAAGACCACTTCTTCATCCATCCCCACGGCTTCCCTCCAGCCACACCGCCGTCACCATCGCCATCACATCAGCACCACCCACTGCGAGGCAGCCGCGAGCCCCATCATCCTTCTCCCGTGACGCCCTCCTCGAGGAATCCCACCAGGCCATGCGGCATGCTTGAACGGAGGTGTACATCATGCTATGATGACTGCGCATCCACGCTCGTTCGCTTGCCTCTCACCGCTTCCTTCCTTCCTTGGACGCGCTCGGTACACTTGTCAAGTCACATTTATTTCTACGGCCCTACATCACAAACAGTCTCAAAGGGCTTCACGTGTCCACAGTTGACAAATATGAACAACCTCCCCCTGATCGTAAACGCCCAGGAGGGCAAGCGAAAACTCCCAAAACCTCATCTGGGGAAAAATGAGAAACCTTGAGAAGGGGCCGCAGATGGGGGAATCCTCCCTTCCAGCGAGTCGGCAAAATATGACATAATATTGTACTACACAATGTGAGTTACAATGATATCAAATCCATTTAAAAGATGGAAAAACGCCTTGGGAGAGGTGGGTCCCCCCTCTGAACCCGGGCCCGGTTTTGGTCAATGAAGAAATCTTCGTAGCAGCACCAACCCAGCTCAGTCGGTGCAAATCACGCCTGGAACGATCGAAAACCGAATCCGTCCACTTCAACTAATGACTTCCTAAAAGTGACGGTTAATTGGCATTATCGGAGAGAAATCAATTTGTGAGCTCTAAAGCCATTCAGAAAGAATGGGAAATTCAACAATTTCAATCCAGTTGAAAATAGTTCACTGGAGTCTGAACGGATGGCCTTTGACTGTCTTTGTTCAAAATCCACAAAAGATAAAGAATGTCATCACATTAATCAGCTACTTGTCACACTCTGGTTGAAATGATTGAGGGATTTTTTTTTTTTTTCCCGGGTTCTGTTGTCTGCAAGTGAGCCACTGCTTGCCCCGCCCCTCTTCTTCATTGTCAGTGGGCTTTCTGAAGAGAAAAGCAAGCCCCATA